TGTCCTTTTGACTTTCCTGATCTGCAATAGAAAGTATTAAAGCCAGTGGGCAAGTGCAACTGCAATTATTCAGCGTTTTCAGATCAGCAATTTCAATCCCTATATTTTTCTTATGACTTATTCCCTTTAAAGGGAACCTGTCATTTTGTGAGCATTAAATACATAAATAAACTCGGGGTGGTGGTATACAGGGTGTTTACAGGAACCTTTATTATAAGATCGAATTTCTGATGCTGAGGATCCTGGGCGCACGCACTGTCATTGATACCTTTTTGACTTAGTGTGTTTTCCACTTTACCAGAATTTGAGAAAACTCCACTATATTTTTTTATGTTTTCTCATTCACACAGTTTTCTTTATATTTTCTTACTTTTTAGATGCTTCTTAGAATAAGGTACAAAAAAGGGAAAAGCGCCTCTAAGTGTAGTATTAAGTGGAGGACCTCTTCCACGGTTGTTGCGAACAGTTTGGCGCTTCACCCAGCGGATAACCACCACTAGATGAGCTTGTTTCTTCATTTAACATGTGAGTTGCCCATTTGGAATTCTAACAACATATTCCACTTTGTACTACGCTTGAGGCGCTTTTCTCTCTTTTGTTTCTTTTAGCTTGTTACACAGAGTTGACTTCTACTCTTGGATCAGCTTGCTTGATGTGGACTTTACTGGATTAGAGTTGAATTTATTGGACTAAATCGTGGACGTTCTTGATTCTGTTTGGACACTATTAATTTTATATGGACCTTTTTGATTGATTAGGCACATATGTTAGACCTTGATAGTGCTCACCCATATACACCTACAGCCATGCCCTTCTTAGGAGACGTTGTCATGGCTGATTGCAAACATTTCTAAACAAGTTCAGGGTGTGTCTTTCCCAATAGAAAGCCTAAGGATATATTTAGTTACTGCTCAGGGGTTGATTTTACCAAAATTGTAGAGTGCAAAATCTGGTGCAGCTCTGCATGGTTTTTTTTTTTTTTTTTTTTTGTGAAGGCTTAAATGAACAAGCTGAAGTTGGAAGCTGATTGGTTACCATGCACAGCTGCACCAGATTTTGCACTCTCTGGTATTCGTAAATAAACCCCACAGTGTTCAAATCTAGTTCACAACTGAAAATACAATCTGTCAACACAGTACACACAGGGTTAATTATGGTAAACACCGTCCCCACTCCTCTCATAAACAGAATGGAGTGGAACTTTTACCTACTGGAGTTCTCAAAAATGACTTCTAAAATATTTACAAGCAACTTTTAAATCAATCTTTTCAGTTTTGCTATTGGGAACGTGTAACAAATATTAAGTATGCATTATCCCAATTTGCCTGCAAAAGTGGAAATACTTGAACTTTTTAAAGCCTCCTCCCAGCGCTCCTTTTAAGTGGGCATTTATGCATGAGAGGCAGAGTGGTTTCTGTATCATGTGACCAGTATGATGAGCTGTCATGACGGTCAGATGATTGGGAACCCATCACACAGAAGGACCGGCCTGGGCATTAAAGCCTACTTAAGTTGCTGCTGTATATATGCGTTATGCAGTCGGCAGGAGGTTAAAAAGCAGCTTTGCGTTTTGCCACCCCTCTGCTATCTCTGAACTAATTAAAGTGCCATACCTGGCTGCAGGTTTATGAGACAGTTAAGAGCAGGGGATGGCGCTCCAAGTCATAGCTGAAGTCACAGATCTGGGGGGCTTGCAGGAAGCTCTCTTATAAAAGAACCATGCGCTTGCTTTGAATTTCTTTCTGTTTGATATGAAATTATTGGCTTTTGAAATGTGACGTGTGTGTACTTGTGTTTTGGGCTTTGTAGATATGTGTGTGACTTGCATTATTTCTTTTTAACACCATGGCACTGATGTTTTTCATTGTTGTTGCTATGGAAATTGGCATATCAGTGTAACCACCCTCTAGTTCAACTTAGGTGTGCTTTGTCTTTCATTGCACTCCCTAGTTTCCCATGCTTTGTGCTTGCTGTGTTGTATTTTAGGGTAATAAAGACCTCGTCGGGCCTCAGCAAAATAGCTATTTGAACTGCTCATTCCAGTATCTTTTCACTTTTGTACTTGTAAGGTAGTATGATAGTAATATGTAATTCCACATTTGAGCTAGTGTTTTTTGTTTTCTTTTTTAGTAGTAGTAACTGTAACTTAAATCATATAAGTTCACCAGTGTTATTATTTTATTCTTTCATCTTTTATGGATTTCTTCCCTGTGTCTTAATCCATCTGTTAAAATTGCCATTGTCAAAAGAAAGGGTGGTACAGTTTGCAAATTTTGACCCAACTGTCCCATGTCCACCCACTTGTACCTTGCTTCTGAAGCCATGTGATCACACATTTTTCCTTCTCTATTCACCGAAGTGATTTTAATACAAACCATACGCCTGAAAATAAAGGACTGATTAATAAGAGCTATAATTGTTTTGAAATTCTTAAACCTAAAAGGAACGTTTGACACAAACAAAAAGATCAATTTAGTTTAACTCAATTGGGTTTTACACAAGTAACAGCCATTACTTTTCGATAACATTGTGTTAGTGAGACTATTGATATGTTCACTTATTGGTTGTACTGTTTTCTACTTTGATAAATAAAAAAAATCAATGATTAGATCAAATGTACATAGCATTAAAGGATAATTTCACCTTTGAATAAATGCATAATTTTGCAGGTAAAAAAAAATGTGCATTTATTATTTTCTTTCTTTGGTCTCTGCAGAGCATTGCATCTGCGATTAGCAGATCATGGGTGCAATGTCAGACCTCTCAGACTTTCAATCAGCTGTCTGCTTGTAGCTCCCATATGGGCAGAGAGTTACTGAACTTCAAGAAGAATCAATGAACTACGAGAGTTTTCACCAGTGCCCTTGTAGTTCAATGAGAACTGCAAGCCATCTGCTGTGATGGCTGATGGTACCTGTAGTTCATTCAGAGAACTTCGGGAAGGTGCTTTAGTAACATGTTACACTCTGAATATGGGTGTAACTTGTTACTAAAGGTGAACTTATCCTTTTAAAGTATACAGTATGTAAACACTAAAACTGTACTTTAGTATGTTTTGTGTGAATCTGTTGCAACATTTCCTACCTGGAAATCCTGCCAATAACAGCAATTCCTGTTTTAGGTTGACAGTGCTAACGCCGGCCATACATGCAATTTTGCAGGAAAGAAAAATTGCTTGAATCCGCCGGTCAACACAATTGGTGTTGATGGGGGAAACCCTGCCACATTGCTATTGTGTTCTGTCAGCTGGGAGTGCAGGGAGCCATTCCCACTGGCAGAACACAATGAACACTGCTGTAGGGTGTAGCTGCCGGTGATGAATTGGCCGGAAAAAACCCAACAGGCTTGTTGTACTGAAGTCGATTGGTGGATATGCAACCCCTGGCAAAAAGTATGGCATCACCACTTTTGGAAAATGTTCATTCAATTGTTTAATTGTGTAGAAAAATAAAAAAATCACAGACATGCCTCTAAACTATTTTCATTTAACATTCCAACCTTCCGGCTTTAAGAAACATTTAAAAAAAAAGAAAAAAGAAAACTGTAGTCAATTGCAACTGTTTTTGCAGATCAAGCAGAAGAAAAAAATATGGAATCGCTCAATTCTGAGGAAAATATTATGGTATTACCATGTACTTTTCAGTTCTAAAAAAAAATCTGCATCAGATTACATCTGCTAATTAGTCTGCAGTTAAAGAGTGCTTACACACCTTGGTGAGCTGTTGCACTAAGCTGACTGCCATGAATCATGGCTCCAACATGAGAGATGTCAGTTGAAACAAAGGATGAGCATCATATTAGGACCATGAAAGTATAAAAAGCAAATCTCCCATAGTGCAATACTGTTTATTAATGTAAATTACATAAAATCACCAAGTTCAGACTCACATATTAGCAGATCAAAAACAGGCTTTTTCACCACTCAGCATGGGCGTACTGCATGTAACTGGAGTAGCAAGATGGCGCTCCACCAGAAGTGCGTCACCACGCCGGATCTACGCGTTACGTCACGCCCTCCTGACTTCCTCAGGATCAGTCACGAGGAGCTGCACAACCTTTGATCTGTTGATGGATGAACTCCCATAAAGGTTGATCCATCCACCTATTTCTGATCTGGGTCCCTGAGTGCAGGAGGTGGGTGTTTCTGCTTTCATGGCCTGCAAGTAGTCCGGACCTCAATCCAACTGAAAATCTATGGTGGAAATGAAAGAAAATGGTACATGACAAGGCTTCAACATGCAAAACTGATCAGGCAACTGCAATAAGTTAAAGTTGGGGCTGGATAAATGAAAAATACTGTTTGTCGATAGTTAAATCCATATAGGTGTACTGTAGTGTGTGTTTTTTTTTTTTTGTTTTTTTCCATTCCATAATATTTTCCTCAGGATTGAGTGATTCCATATTTTTTCTCTCTGCTTGATCTGCAAAAACAGTTGCAATGGACTACAATTTTCTTTGTTTTTTATTTTTTTTAAGCGTTTCTTAAAGCCAGAAGGTTGGAATGTTAAATGAAAGTAGTTTTTCAGGCATGTCTGTGATTGTTTTTTTTTTCTACACAATTAACAATTAACCACTTGACTACCGGGCACTTATGCCCCCTTCTTTACCAGGCCAATTTTCAGCTTTCAGCGCTGTCGCACTTTGACAATTGCACGGTCATGCAAGATTGTACCCATATGAAATTTTTATTTTTTTTTCTCACAAATAGAGCTTTCTTTTCGTGGTATTTAATCGCCACTGGGCGCTTTACGTTTTGCGCTATAAACAAAAAAAGTGCAAAAAATTTGAAAAAAAAATTTTTTCTTTGTTTCTATTATAAAATTTTTCAAACAGGTAATTTTTCTCCTTCACTGATGTGCGTTGATGAGGCGGCACTGATGTGCGTTGATGAGGCGGCACTGATGGGCAGCACTGATAGGCAGCACTAATGAGGCGGCACTGATAGGTGGCACTGATGATGGGTACTGATAGACAGCACTGATAGGTAGCACTGACTGGCATCACTACTGGGCACTGACTGGTGGCACTGACTGGCAGCACTGCATTGATTGGCACTGGTGGGCACAGATGGGTGGGCACAGGTGGGTGGCACTGCTGGGCACAGCTGGGTGCACTGCTGGGCACAGCTGGGTACACTGCTGGGCACATGTGGGCAGAACTGGTGGGTGGCACTGCTGGGCATCGATCATCAGGGCACTGGTTATCAGTGCCCTGATGATCGGTGCCAATCCCTGCTCTGACAACTGCCGGTTCTCGGCAGTACTTTCCTTGCGCTCTGCCAGCGTGAGGAAAGTGCAGCCGAGAACCGGCAATTGCATTTCCCGGTGATCAGCGTGTCATTGGACAGGGCTGATCACGTGGTAAAAGGCCGCTGTGATTGGCCTTTTACCACATCACGTGATCAGCTGTGTCCGTAGGACACAGCGATCACGGAGATCGCCGGGGGCGCGCAGAAGAGCGTGTTCTGGGAGAACGTCACATGACTCCCTCCCAGAACTGGCCGGCCACAGTGTAGCCGTCATTTGGCTATCTGCGGTTGGCAAGTAGTTAAATAAACATTTTCCAAGAGGTGGCGATTCCATGTTTTTTACCAGGGGTTGTACTTCAGTCTAACCAGCCTGTCCTTAGATGGATCTAAATTCTAACCTCAATCTGTAAGCTTGGAGAAGGGAGTTGTGTGGGAGACTCCTCCTATGAAGCAAAGGTGGCGCCACAGAATGCTGCAAGAAAGTTAAGCCAATCCAAAATAGGGAACTTGGGGCAGCATTCATAGCACCAGCTTAAAGTGGTTGTAAAGCTTAGTCTTTTTTTTTCTTAAATAATAAAATAACAAACATGTCTTGCTTACCTGCTCTTTGCAACGGTTTTACACAGAGCAACCTGATCTTCCTCTTCTCGGGTACCCCACCTATGCACATGGCCCCTCCCCCTGCTGAGAGCCCCTGTAAGACATACAGAGCATGGCCAAGCCTCCTCCTGCCCCCTGCACCCCTCACCGGCTGTGGTTGACATCGGCAGGAGCTAATGGCTCCCGCTGTTGTGTCTCAGTCAATGAGGGGAGAGAGACGTGGGGGTAAGAGGGGCTGCACACTAAAGATTTTTTTACGTTCATGCATAGCCTTTAGAACAACTTTAAACTTGAGCATAGGCAAGGATTAAAAGATGAAGAGCTACATGTTCAGTAGGGAATTATATCCGCTATTGAGAGTGCTTAAACTAAGTTTAAACTCACAAAGTAATTCATCATCATCTACGCAAAATAATCCTTGTAGTGTAACTTTTTCTTCATCTCGGAGCTCCACTTTATTAAAACATAATGGGGCCGATGCATGAAAACGAATACAAGAGATCCAATAGAAAAGTAACCATAACCTCTATCAGTTAAACAGCCTCCTTGTACCATCTACCCAGGGAGTGCTGGAGTTCTTCATTTTCTCTGTAGATTGCCCATAAACCCATTGTATTATGAGAAATTATAATTTCTTCCAAAAGGTAGCTTTTTAAAAGAAAGAAAAACAAAAGCCTATAAATATGTTTTTGAAAGTGACTGGAGCTTAAAATGTTAAAATGAGGCTTGCATGAAAAAAGATGATTGATTTTTGCACTTGGATTTTGTAAATGTGTTCTATGTCTGATGTAGGCAATTCAGTCCTTTTCCACTGCATGTTATGATTTGTCATTGCTAAAAAAAAACACAAACACAAAACTTTGAAGTCTTCCTGGTCTGCTGATCATATGATCTGTGAGATTTGATGTCTTGATTGCTTGTGTTCCTGAAGTCATATTAAGCCTGAGTAGCTCAATAATGAAGCCTGTCATACATGGCTTGAATTTCAGGAATCTGGTGAAATTCGGCCATGTGTGGTCCTCTCCGCACCACCAGGCTCAACAAGTCGATTTTTTGGTTGACTTTTGTTAACATAGTTGGGAGAAAAATTGTTAGCTGAACAGTGGCTGAATCCAGGATGCAGTTGTGGATGCTGGCTGTCAGAATACAATAGCCGATAGGTGAAATGACTTAATCCTTGCTGTTTAGTGTGGATGGAGGAATATTTTGGCAATCTCTTGTTAAACCCATGGGAATGAGGAATAAGGGGATGAACTCTTTCGGTATAGTCGGAAACAATTCAGAAATGGCTGCTAGACAGTACTTTTATCACATGCTCTGCAGAACCAAGCTATTTCAAATGCAATAATTGCCCTTTCAGCTTTTACGGGATTTAAGTTAGTGGTTTGGTAACTTTAATTTTTTTTTTAAATGTAAGCGCAAGTCTGGTTAGTAGGAAACCAGTTTCATCAGGAGATATTTATTAATGCTGACCCATATCAGATGGTAAAGTGGTGGTAGAATAAATACAACATCCGCTGGTTTCCTGGAGAAGTTCAGTCCATTAACTGCTTGTGCAAGGACTCTGCTCATGTCCTCAAAATGCTAGTAAACTTGGGAAATGCAAAATCTACTGACAGGCAGAATTTTTATATCAGTATTGGGTAATGTGATCTGAGCCACACATGCGCAGTTCAGATCACATTAGGACCCACTCTGCATGCTGCGGCGATGTGACTCCTGTGCTCATGCATGGGAGTGACAGTGTTGCTGCCTGGCCATTCAAGCGGCCAAAGATTCCGAACCCCAAAGGAACACCGGGTGAAGATTGAAGTGCTGGGGAGCCATGGCAGCGCAGTGCTGGAGGGTTTTAAAGGTAGGTCTGTCTTAATGTATTAATATGTAGTGCATACTAGTATATTATGACTTAAACCTTCAGGGGGGCCCATTCGTTTTGTTTGACGCAAAGACTTTACTACAGTTTTTTAACTTTTTTTTTTAACTTGGGTGGTTAATGGTTAGGCTGTTAACATATTGGTCAGTTAGTGGTATATACTGTATTGGTCAATATAGTGGTAACTTATTCAAGGAAACTATATAAATCTGTGATGGTCACAAAATTCATTTGGGGATTCCTGATAATCCATATGTTTTTTTTTCTTTTTCTATCTTGTTAGTCACCATTGCGGCAATGTATCAGATGCTGTAGCTCGTGGTTGATCACATTGATGGCTCATAAATTATTCTGTGTTATAACTAAAGCTGTTAGACTTGTGTTTACCTCACTGAAGCATTTTTCAAGACAAGTCATACATTAACTGCAGAAACTTGATAAGCAAATTTGGATGGAATGATGGTGTTCCTCAGAACGATATGGTAAAGTAACACAGTGCCTTGAGAACGTTTGCATCCTTCATTGGTGTTTTACCTGTTCTATTGTATTGAGAGTTGAGATGGATTTTTTGTAGCTTTGTACCATGAGATATACACACCATTCCCATGACTTCGAAGGTGCAATATCTTTATTGTGAACCAAACAATTAAAGTGATTTGTAATGCTTGATATTTTTTTTTCATTAAAAGAACAAACATGTTATACTTATCTCCTCTGTTCGATGGTTTTGCACAGAGCAGCCCTGATCCTCCTTTTCTTGGGTCTCCCGATGGCTCTCTGGGCTCCTCCCCCCTGATGAGCCATTGGCTTTTGCTGCTGTCAGTCGCAGACAGTCAGGAGAGGAATGGGGGGCAGGAGCGAGCTTACATGAGTCCTGAGCAAGAGGCTTACAATGGGTGCACTTGTGTGGGCTCATTCTTGATCCCTGCTCTGTGTCCATTCACACACAAAGCGTGGCTTGGCCCTGCCCAACGCCTATCCTCACTGGCTGTGATTGACGGCAACAGGAGCCAATGGCTCCCACTGCTGTCTCTGAGCCAGTAAGAAGGGAGAGAGCCAGGAGAGCTGCTGCTGTCATGCCCTTCACTGGATCGAGATTGTCCTCGGTTAAGTATAAGGTGCGGGCTGGAGGGAGAGCACACCACAGAAGGTTTTTTACCTTAATGCATAGAATGCATTAATGTAAAATACCTTTTTAGCGTTACAACCACTTTAAGACATAACAAGCAGACATCTTGGGAATCGCTGTGTATGTGACCAACATTTGTCATTGCCTGAGATCCCCACAGTGACGCATTGTGGTGTCAGCAGCATGTTGTAAGAATGCTTTTCATAGGCAGGGACTGTAAAACTAGTGAGGAAGGAAGGATAGGAAATTTAGGGACCTACTCATGGCATCAGATGTGTACCCAAGAGGATTCTTGGAACCCCAGGTGCTTTGTAATGTCAATCTTTACTTAGGGACAATCTAGTTCCAGCGCCCCTCTCCTGTGATGTTCTAGGCAGTTGATTACATACATATTATATAAATTTAGAAGAAAACTGTAGATGCTTGCTTTAATTTCCACAGGCTAATGTATTAAGCCATATTCCACTGTTGGTACTCATTAAAACTGAAGATTAGTAAAAAATATAATTTTTCTTTGATAGCTGCAGTCATATCGCTTACCTATGAAGTCCAGTGTGCCCCTGCGCCTTTAAGGAGGGGTGGGCTCTCTCTAGGTAACCCTTCTCCTAGTCTATCCATTATTATGCATGTCCTTCTACTATGGAAGTGCTCACAATTTATAGATTTAGGAACTGCAGAATACTGGGGTGCCGTGAAGAGGCTCTGCGGTTTATGTATGTGTTTACAAATGTGTGCAAACTAAACCCCTGTCTTTAAAGAGAACTGTTAGACAGGACAATTCGGTTGACTACAGGCTGATTGGTAAGTTGAGCTGGGAATTTTTCTTTGTTGTTGTTGGTTGACGTGTTGCCCTTCCATGTGCTCCTTGCTACAAAGGCCAGTGATAGATTGGGGCAGTTGCCGTTTGTTTGTACCTATGAAATATGTCCCACATCTGTCAGGCAGCTGGATCCTGTAGAAATTTTCTGTACAGTAATGACAGGTCCTCATCCTGCTGTTGAACTTCTGGTGCTGAGGGATTGCTGCAGTTCTTCTGTGAGCTGCAGTGTTAAATACCTAACAGGGCCTGCTGTACCTCCCTCCATTGAGAAAAGCCTATGCATTCTTTATACTATATGTTATACTACCTCTGAATGAGTGAGAGAATCTTGTCACTCAAGAGAATCTCCCCATTAACAGATGTTCCATGCAGTATAATCAATGCACAGTCATTTCTCAATGGAGACAGGAGGGGGCAGGCCGCGGTCAGGAGCTTTTTTTTTTTTTTTTTTTTTCCCCTGCAGCTCACAGAAGACTTGGAACTGGTAACTCCCTCAATGCTGGAATTTCAGCAGCAGGAAGAGGACCTGTCTTCACTGCACAGATGATTTCTACAGGGTCCAGCTGCCTGAAAGATGTGGGATATACTTCATTACAGGTAAGTGATGTGACTGCAGCCATAGGAGAAAAATTATCTTTTTAGCAGAGTAGCTAAATAGTTAGCACATCCGCCTGGCAGTACTAGGGTCGTTGATTCGAATCCCAACCACGGCACCAACTACCTGCGTGGGTTTCCGCTGGGTACTCCGGTTTCCTCCCACAGTAGGTTAATTGGCTTCTGTCTAAAATGGCCCTAGTATGGATATGTATGAATGTGAGTTAGGGACCTTAAATTGTACACTCCTTGAGGGTTAGGGACTGATGT